CTTAGGGCAGCCCCATGGGGAGGTGTTGAGCGGGGCAGAGGTGGCCAAGTCCTGCTCCCAAGAGAGGGCACCCAGCCGCTCTGGTGCGCCCCGGCCTGCTGCTGCGCACCCAGACCCTGCTGCGTCCCATGGCCCCCATGGCCACCTCCCCAGTGACACCGCTGGGGCCCTGCCACGTGTCCTGGGACGGGGCAAACTGCTGGCACGGGGCAGGGCCAGGGCCGCCTCCAGGAGCAAAACCTCTTACCAGGTACCCGATGGGCGACTTCTTGCTCTTGGAGAACTTCTCCATTTCCTCCCAGTCTCCGCGGTTGGCCAGGGCACTGATCTTCAGCCACCAGTACCTGGGGACATAGACCAAAGCAGCTCGTCTAGCTGCCAGCGGTTTGCCACCCCCAAGCACTGGCTGGGCCCTGGCCCCACAGCACAGGGATCCCGGAGAAGAAAGGTACCAGGAGAGGAAGGCTCCTGGTCACACACTGCTCCTCCTCCTCCCAGTTCTGCCCAGCCCTGGCCAGCACCTGCTCCAGCAAAGCTCATGCCTGGCACCCTGAAAAGGTGACCCTTGGGACCCCAAGCTGAGATTCACATCTCCTGCTCACAGTGAACCATTGAGGGTGCACAGAGGGTGCTGCTGGCCAAGCACAGCATCAGCTCTGCGTGCACGTGGGCAGCCAGGGATGGGGGTCAGCTCTGCCCCTGCCCTGCTGCGGGAGCCCCCAGTCCCAGGCTGCTCCCCCGTGGGACCGACCGCTTATCGGGGATCTTGAACTCCCGGTACAGCTGCTCAGCCCGCTTGTGGTGGCCATCCAGGATCAGGTTGGAGACTGTGTCATGCAGAGAGAGGTCAAGGTAGGGCTTGTCAAAGTCCTCCTGGAGGTGTCGCTGGAGCCGCAAAAGCTTGATTTGATCCTCTGTGGCCTGTGGAGCAAAGCACCGGGGTAATGGGGTCCCAGCCCCAGCCCTTCCCCTGCAAACGAAGGCAATGGTCCACTCAGCTTCAGCAGTGGGGCAAGGGATCTGCACGCCGCCCTCCCACGCCCACAGTGCCGCGTCAAACAGACGAGGCCCAGCCGAATGCCAGGGCCAGCCAGAGAAGTCCAGCTCCGCTCCCTGCCCAGCCCCAGCCCCAGCCCCAGCGAGAACAGGAGGGTCCCAGCAGCCCCTCCCCGGCCTCAGGCGCACTCACCTTGGCAGCAAACTCATTCTTGGCTTTGTAGTACGCATCCAGGGCATTCTGCAGAGCCCCCACTCTCCCCTCGATGCGCTGGGGACAGAGACCACAGCTATGTCACCCCATGCCGGGCTGCAGAGGACGGGGCACACAGGCTGGGTGTTGAGCAGCCCCCAGGTGACGAGGGCACTGAGCTGTGAGCCTGGGAGTTTCTCTCCTGCAGCTGGAGCCCACCCTGAGCAAGGGGAGGGTGGAAACTGCCCTGGTTGCAAATGCCTGGCTCGTGCTGTTGAGCTGCGCGGGACAGACACAGCCACCGAGCACAAAGTTACCGCCTGCCCCTTCCCTGCTCTGTTCACATGGGGATGCGTCCGGCATGCTGAGCCCAGCGTGCTGGAATTCCCTGGCCAAACGGATCAGTTGACTAGGAGGAGGCAGGAAGGAGCCCAAGAGCCCTTCCTCTGCATTCCTCCTCCCACTGCCACAGACAGACCTTCTCTGAGTAGCTGGAGTGGACGTGGAAGTTGCCGAGTTCCTGGTGATTATCATCCTGGTTATACAGGTCCTTCAGCGTCTCCCGCTCCTGGTGCTTGCAGAACTGGGGAGCAAAGGGCAGGGATTAAGGCACACGAGACGGCGAGCTGCCTCCATCGCCCTGGGCCCGGCTTGCTCGGACCCCCTTGCTGCCAAAGTGGCTCACGGGTCTGCAGGGCCTGCCAAGGTGGCCAGAGGGGGCTCGCAGGGCCGAGCACACGGAGCTGTTGGGGCAGCCCCTCACCTGGCGGTACAGGCTCAGGGCCACCGGCTGGTTCTGCAGCGTCATGAAGAAAGTGCCACGATTCAGTTCATTCTTCAGATGGAGCACGACAGTGTAGACTAGGGCACAGAGAGGGCAGGATTCAGGACGGGGTATGGAGACCCTTCCCCCGGACACAGCAGGTCCAGGGGAGCAGTGCTGGGACATACACCAGCCCACAGCACGGGGAGGGAAGCAGGTGAGAGCAAAGTGCAGGGCAGAGCCCAATGCTTATTTCTTGTCACGGGTGAGCATTGCCCTGTGGGGCTTCATCTCCGTGAAGCACCACCCTCATCCCAGCTTGAACGCTGCAGCGAGGCACAGAGACATAAACAGGCTCTCCCAAAGCCAACATCCTTCCCAGGAGATGTTTGCAGCCCTGAGACCAGTCAGACCCCACAGTGCAGGAGATGCAAGGCCCTGTCCTGCTGCAGTTGCATGTGGGGAGCACCAACCCTGCCTGCCATTACCCAGGTCGGTGTCCCCGCTCTCGATGGCTTTGCTCAGGGCCAGCTTGCTCCGCTTCATCTTCAGCAGCAGCGGGACCTGCTCCCCAGATCGTGGCTCATACTCCAGCAGCTGCAACCAGCAAAGAGGCCGTTGGTGCACGGCCCCCCGAGCCCTCCGCGACACCCCCCTCGCTGCCCTGCTGGGTACACTGTGGCCCCAGCCTGCAGCCCAGCACACCTTGATGGCCAGCTCTGTCCTGCCGCAGTCGTAAGCCCGGGCGGCAATTTCTGAGTACGAGATGCCTGGTGTGTCACCCAGCTTCTGGTTGATGGCGTGGGCCACCTCCTCATCTGACTTGTCCTTCTGCTGCACCTGGAAGGGAGCGAAGACGTCTCTGCATGGCACCGGGACAGGCAGAGCCCTCGGACCTGCCTCCCCGCAGCTGCCTCCTTACCTTGTAGCAGGCCCAGTGCGCCAGGATGCGGCTGACGCCCTGGATCTCCGAGAGGCGCAGGTACTCGCAGATCCTGATAGCCAGGGGGTAGAGCCGCCGCAGAACCATCCGAGGCACGGTGCGAGGCAGTGCAGCACAGCTGGCCTTGCGAGGAGGTCCTGAGCACCTGGAGCCTGCTCGGCCCTCCGGTCAGGGGGACAGGGACTATGCAGAGACCGCAGCGCAGCTGGACACAGCCTCGGTCCTGCCAGCCAGGGTGGCTCAGGGGACAGGTGCTGTCATGCCCAGCTTGCGGGGGATCCTTACCTGTCCAGCAGGACTTCAATGGTAAGCCGCTTGTATCTGCAGGGGCAGTCAAGGGACATCTCAGCCTGCCGAACAGGACTGAGCCTCACAGAGCATAGGCAATGTGTGCCGGCACCGGTCCCCTCCTGGCAGCGCCTGCTGCCCCGGCGCTGCCCGGGCTGAGCGCTGCCCTGGAGCCAGCCCCAGCACATGTGGCTGCAGGGCCAGCTCAGCTCTGGAAGCAGCACGGGCCATTTCTGCAGGCTGGCAGAGCCTACTGGCTCACCATCATGGAGGGAAACCCAGCATGCAACACAAAGCCAGGTTACGCCCAGCAGGATGTGATGAGCACGAGCATCTCAGCTACAGACCCCTGCTATAGGGCCCAGCACATGGCTGGCTGCTGCCCAAATGACAGGGAGCTGGCTGCTAAGCAGCAGCGCATCCCACTCCTCCTGCATCTCGCTGCTGTCCCAGCAGGAGCCCAGAGCTCCAAATCCCTGGGCCAAGGCCAGCACTGACTTCAGTGGCCTCCTGCTCTAGCAGCCAAATGTCGTGCCCTCCCCACAGTCCTCGCTCTTGCACTTGTCCCACAGAGGATACTGGGTGAAGGTGAGGGGGATGCCGATCTGATAGTCCCGAATGGCGTTGAGCACCCGCAGGTCCTGGCACATGCGCACAAAGCTCTCCGAGGGGAACTTGTCAATGAAGCACTTCCCAAACGAGGCAGCCTGCAGGAGAGATGTGCGGTCTCTGGGGCTGAGTGAGTTATGGGAGAGGCCTGGAGCAGAGCAGGGAAAAGCTTTCAGCCTCATCCCAAACTCTCCCACCGCCTCCTTCACTCACCCTGAGCAGGGACTTTTGGGTTTCGGGCTCGTGCTCGTAGCCAGCTGCCTCGATGCACTGGCTCACTGCCTCTGGAAGCAACTTCTGGTCCTTGATCTCCCGCAGGTACTCGTCTGCCTTCTGACTCTCCTTCTACAGGGGAGAGAGCACGGCCCACAGGCAGAGCTCAGGATCTGGGACCTGACATCTCCCAGCAGGAGCACGGGCCACCTCACTCTCCATGCTCCCTCTGCTCTGCACAGTAGGTGCTGGGTAGTGGGTAGCGCTCAGCGAGCCCTCACCCTGGCGTCCCGGGGACCAGCTCCCCACGCACAGCCTGCAGGCGACCGCAAAGTGGCAGCGAGCATGAAGCCTGGGTGCCCAGCTCCCCTGAATGGGGCTTTTGAGCAGCAGGGACACAGCTGCATGACACCACACCGCTCAGCTTGTCACCCTTCAGCACTGCGCGGGCAGGGCTGTCACACCCTCGGGACGGGGCGGGGAGCACGGCCCCGGGGTCACACAGACGTGCCCATGCACCCTGCGCCGATGAACCGCTTGGACACCCAGCACTGCCGTGTGGCTGCTGTGGTGTCCAGGGAAAAGGCTTTTCCTCCAGCCGGGCTGCGCTCCCTGCCCTCCCTGTGCTGCCCGCGGCTGTTTGAGCTGCCAGGCAGGAGTTGCTGGCTCTTGTGCCCACCCAGGTGCCCCAAACTGCACGCCAAGCTGTCCCACTCCAGACGTCCAGGCTCCAGCACAGCCTAGCCCAGCCTGCGCCCTGGGGCCACGGCTGCTGCAGAAGGCCTCAGAGCCAGCGGCCCTGGCTTGAAGAGAGCTCTGCAGTTCAGGGCTGGGTCCCCATCACAACGCAGCAGAGACCTCCAGGCTTTCCTCCCTCCCATTACCGCAGAGGAAGGCAGGGATAATGCTGACGGTGGTTTGCATTGCATCGGAGCCACCCTGACCATGCGGAGCTCCCCAGGGAAGGCAGGAAGGAGGCAGGCTCCGGAGCAGGGCAGCGTGCCGTACCTCGTACTCCTTCTGTGCCTCCAGCAGGAGCGCCCCTGGGGCCATGGAGGCGATCTTAAAGATCTCCTGGCTGGCCTCTGCGGAGAAGGGAAGAAAAAGCAAGGGTGAGAGGCTGCCCCAGCACAGGCACAAGACACCCCTACCTGGCTGGGCACCTGCTCTTACCCTATCGCTCTCTACAGCTCTGCGACCCCAGGAGAGAGCTAGGTCCCAACACCACCCTTCTGCAGGGGACACAGGGCAGGGGTGGGAGCACGGCCAGTCCCGAGGAGCTAGGCAGACCTGAGTCGATGGACAGCCTCGGGGCCACTCACAGCCCTTGCGACTGCAGCCCCCACTCCGTCTGCCAGGCTGTCAGAGGAGGCTCGTCCTTGCCCACGGTTGCTCAGACCCCTCACACTGGAGAGCCCCAGTCCCAGGGGCAGGAGCATGCGGGGCACGGGGGATGCAGGGAAAGGCTGTGGCAGTGAGGAGGGGCTCTCAACCACCTTTGGCCTGCAAATAATAAACACAGACCCCAATAGTCAGACGGGGGACAGGGATCCAGGGGGCAGCTGCCAGGGGGCTCCAGCTCAGGACGCAGGGGTATGGCAGAGCTGGCAAGGAAGGGACCAGAACTGCAGCAGCGCCGGGGAAGCAGGGCTGGGAGATGGGAGGGTGCCTGGGGCCAAGTGGGGGACAGGGGTACGGACATGGCCAGGGCAGCAGCTCAGCACTAGGCAAGGGACCCAGGGGAAGGAGCCTGGCACCAGAACAGGCCAGGGCACAGATCTGCTCTGCTGCGAAGCTCTCACCGGCTCTTGAGCCTCTAGAAAGGGCCAAGCACGCTGCACCTCGAACACAGAGTTGGGCATGAGGCAACCTGGACTGCTGTCACCCTCCTCCCGCAGCCCCGGGGGCCCCAGCCTGGGCACTGAGCGCCCCATGGGAGACCCTGCCTCCCTGGCCTCGCCACCCAGGGGACATCGCACCTGGGATCTCATGCAGGAACTCGTGGGAGGTGCGGGACAAGATCCGGACTCCATCCAGCTCCGGCACCAGGTAAGAGTCCTCATCCAGAACAAATCTGTGCTCCTCACTAAGGACTCACAGGAAGAAGGCAGCTCCCAGCTGCAGCCCAGGGCCAGGCCAGCCACAGCCAAGCCACTGAGTGACCCCCGACAGCTCCCGTCCACAGGACAGTGGCTCCTGCGCCCCCCCCCCCCCCTCTCGGCGCACCGGGAATCATGAGAGGATCATGGAAGGGCAGAGCAGCGCCCAGCTGCTGGGGCTTTAGTGGCTTGGGACACCAGCCTCCTCTCCAGGCTGGGAGGAAGGCTGGGTCCTGCCCACAGGGAGCTGGGAGACTCAGAGAAGGGGAACAAGGCCCTGTGGGGGCGGAGAGGGAAGGTGCTTTTGCTGCTGCACATAACTGAGTTGACAGCAGCTGGAAAGGGGGGATTGTGGCTGAACTGCAGAGAAGAGGAACAAATTCAGCCTTATCTGACCATCTTTGGGGCCTGCTGACAGCAAGGGTAGAGCCAGGGCTGCAGAAACAACGATGCTTGTGGCAGATACAGCAATGGCCTGAGGAAGGCCAGTTGAGGCCCACGGTTTGGGTTGGCCTTCAAAATGACACTTGTCCTTCCTCCCCAAAGGATACTGGATGCACTCCGCGGAGTTCCCTGCCACCATGAGCTGACGATCCCAGGCCACCACCACGGCACGCTGCCGGCTCCGGGGACGCATGCACCTGCCGGGGAGCCCCAGCCCAGTCAGGGGCAGCATTTACCCCGAGGCCCCGCGCCAGCGCCAGGTCTGGTCCCGCAGCCCCCCAGAGCGGGGCCTGTCCCCACATTCCTGGATCAGGAATGCGAGAGGTGGTCACACTCATCCCAGGGAGGCACCGGAGCAGCCCGGAGCCAAGCAGATGCTGCTGAAGCGTCCGCGGTTCAGGGCACCAAGACGCTCCAGCAGGCCCAGGCCAACACAGGGGGACAAGGATTCGGGGTCTCTGGCTGGGCACAGCCCGGGGCAGTGGGAGCCAGGCCACAGACCACTCACCAAACCATCTGCTTGGGTGGAGATCGGATGCTGCTGTTGAATTCGCAGAGTTTCTCCTGGAGTGGGAAAGAGCAGGGTTACAGAGGAGAAAGCGCAGGGAAGGGTGTGTGTGGCAGGAGCCCCGTGCTGGGGGCAGCAGACCGCGCTGCGCCGGGCCCTGGGCCTGCTGGTGCCAGCCTGTGCACAAGCGGTCCTGCGGGAGCAGCCGACCTCGTCGCCAGCTCCGGCCTCTGCAGGGAACCCTGAGCGACTGGACCAGCTGAAGGGCAAGGATGCTGCGCGAGCACAAAAACAGAGCGTGGAAAGTGTGTTCCTCCATTGTTACAGCATGCTGCCCGTCTGCCCAAAGAGCGAGAAACTGCTTGTGCTTGACTGAAACCAGGTGAGGAAATAAAAGGCTAAAGGAGAATGATTTGTTTCCAAGAGTGCAAAACATAACCAATATGTCACTGGTATGAACCAGATAACTGCAGAGAAATTTAGGAGTGCAGAGGCTTACAAGGCCAGCTATACCTAAGTGACCACATCAGTAATGGTAATAAGGCTGAGATTGCCTAGGAAAATGTATTAGAACTACCAAATTTGGGTATGAGTGTAAAAGAACTGGGACCAGTGGGGAAAAAGTAATTAGGGGCAAGTCGTTTATTTGGGAGGAGTTTGGGCAGAACAAGGAACATGCAAGGGCAGTAAAAAGGTGGGCCCAGAGGCAGAAAAAAATAGGGAATAAGGTATAAAAATCAGGTAAAGAACAAAAGACAGGACGGGTCTTCTGACAGCAGAAGTGCAGATGCCTACGGGTGGAAGTGACGCTGACCTGCAGACCCAAGCCCATCAGCAGCCCGGAGGGAACCTGCTCACACACCCCACCGTGCTCTCCATCTTCGGTGTCTGTGAGACTTGGTGCGAGAGGGTGGAGTACGGAGGGATAGACTTACACTTTAATACGAAGTAGCGGGAATGGAAGGGAAATAGAATTGCAATTCAACAGCAAGTATATGATTTATAACATTTAACGTTGATAATTAATAGTTTTACAGTTATATGTGATAATGAACTAAGTGGTACAACTGTAACTCAATAATAATAGTGCATTTTTAGTTTACTGATTGCTTTGGTATTAGTTTTTCAGCAGTTTGCTACTTAGCCAGTAAACCACACAATCTTTTGCATCAGTTAGGCCTCAAGCCTCCTGTCTACGGGAGGAGAGTCAGACCCCTGAATTTACACATCCAGGGCCCAGGGCTCAGACTCTGCCCTCAGTACCTCCAACCCAGCCTGTGCCAGAGCGGGGCTCAGACCAGGCCCCTCGAGGCAGCACCGCCCTAACTCGCCTCTGCCGCCGAGCACGGGCTCCCTGGCGCAGAGAGGCCCTGGCGCTCACCTTCAGCGTGGAGAGCCCCATCCAGATGTAGCCGGTGTCAGTGAAGAGTGCCAGGCAGCGGTAGTTGAAGGACACGGCCATCCGCAGATAGGCTCCGGCAGTGGGGCTCATGCCAGGTGGGGTCTGGGCCAGGGAAAAAAGAGACGGTTACAACTGGGGGCCAATCTGGGGACAGAGGACGTGCCACACGTTAGCACAGACCCTGCCTACGGGGCTGAGAGCCGGCAGTAGGTGAGGGTGAAGCTGGTGAGCAGTAGCCCAGGGCCAAGCTGGACTGTCCCTTCCCGCTCCACCGGCTGCTTTGCGCCTGCTCAATCCTCATCCTTCTGCCCCGGCCAGGACGCGGCCCGCTGCGGGCCCCTGCCCGGCGAGAGGGGGTGCCCGGGGGGCAGACGAGGGGGAAGGGAAAAGGACCCGCTATCGAGGGTGGGAGGCTGGAGACGGGTCCTGTTCCCTGCTGACGGCCACCCGCGCCTCGCTCACCACCACGGAGCAGGACGTGTTGTCCAGCAGGTACAGGTCCTGGCCGACCGCCAGCAAGATGATGGTCACTCTGTCCTGGGAGAGCACGGCCCAGCAGGAGGGCGGTTTCTGCAGACCTGCCGGGCACAAGGGATCAGGGCTCTGCGCCTGGCAGGAGCGGGGAGGAGGGCAAAGGGGACGCACCTGGGACCTCGGGCATCCTGCGCAGCTTCAGGTCGTCGATGTTGGTCGTTAAGGAGAAGCGGTGTGCCCCAGTGAGGATGGCCACGCCGGTGCCGTACTCCGTGTGGAAGACCTTCGCCTCCAGCACGTGGTTCTGCAGCACCTCCTGTGCCACAGAGAGAGAGCTGAGCCCAGGCCGGGGCCCACAGGGGCAGCTCGGGCCAGGCGCAGCGGGGAGCTCAGCACCAGGCTGCCAGGAGGGATGCTGCTGTCGGTGAAACGCTGCTCTGGGAACGAAACTGCCCCCGGGAGGAACAACAAAAATACTGAGCCCAGCCCTGCACTGTGCTGCCCTGCGTCCCAGCTCCAGCAGACCTTGCTCCTGCCGAGGAAAGGATCGTTCCAGCCCCATGTGTCACCAGGATGTTTGTCAGCTCATTTCAAAGGAAGCCAGCCCTGCACGGAGGCTGAAAGAGCCCCACGCTTTCAGCTTTGCCCCCAAAGGGGCTGGCGGAGCACTCAGGGAGGCAACGTAGCACTTCCTTCTCCGAGTCGTGCAAACCCAACTCAGTGCATTTCCTTGCAAAGAGCTCGCAGCAGGCACAGCGGGAGCGTGGCCTGAGGTTCGTGTCACCCAGGAAGGCCTCCTCCCTTTGACAGGACGATGCTCCAGCGCCGGGCCTGGCCCTGGCCCCAGGGCCCCTCTGGCCAGGCTGCGGAGCGACGGACACCCAGCCCAGCCCGGCCCACACGGCTCCACTCACGTTGCCCATGCTGAAGTGACGCTTAAACTCGCAGAAGAGGTTGTAGATGAGAACGGTGCCATCCTCCTGGATGCACAGCAGGTCCTCGCTGGCCGTCCAGCCCAGGTGCACCAGCTGG